TTTTTTCCTTTTGATAATTGTAATATCTGTACTAACTTTCAATTTTCCACTGTAAACAATTCAGGGTGCTCAATGACCTTGAAATACGCTGGATCGCTGAGAAACTCGCAAAAATATTGGTGATTTTTATTAAAATCTACTGTTGCTATGACAACTGAAGCTTGAAATATTTTTTCAGACAATTTAAATTTGAAGTATTCTTAGGTTGCTTAACCACTACTTCTAAAGCAAAATATGAGCATCATGAGCATCCTCCAAATTGAAACATAGAAACATAAAGTTTGGTATGAGCACTCTTTCGGCAAGAGGAGCAATTTCGGAAGGTGCCCCAAACCTTAACTCGGAAAAATTTTGTAGGGCCACTCTAATGTACATATGTACATAGATAAAGTATATTGTAATTTGGTTTCATAGCTACTTTCTAAGAGCTTTTAGTTCATAAATGCATGATGTACATACATATGTATACATAGGTATATGTATGTGTGTGTGAGTAGTACCATTAACAGTTGCACTTACCTGCCCATACCGAGTATACCAGTTGCACCGCGACTCAGACATAACAAACGTAATTTGGTAATTGGATCTTTCTCTTCGCCATTTGCCAATTCTCGCATGGACTTGTTAACCAAATTGGCTTCCAATGAGTAGAGGTCGTGATTTGATATCTACATATGTAGTGCAGATAGAAATTGGAATATTAATTAGCATATGAGGTTTAAGAAATATGTAGAAATAAAAATTTGGAATTTTTTGATGTGTATGCTAAATGAGAAATCGCCAATCGTGTTTAGTTGAAAAATGGGGGCATTAAAATGTCTTCGCACATACTTAGTTACTAGAAAGAAATTGTTAAATTTATTTATCTCAACCGATAACTTTGCCAAGCAGATATTCTTATAAATTTATGCCCCATACTCTCCTTTCATTTACACTTGCGAAAATAGTCGTGTTTTCTTTGGCTATCGAGTTCGGTATCAGTATATAATATTTATATAAATAAATACTTAACACAAAAGGCGATTTATTTGAAGCCAGCTAAAAGAAACAATGGCAAAATGTCTGTCCGAATGGTCCACATCGTGAATCGTTTTTGAAAGATATACATACAACTCAGACCTATTTTCAATTGATTTGCACAAATTTAACAAACATATGAAAACGCAGAAGACAGTGATGCTTCTCCGTTTTATCTGATCAAATGATTGCTATCCTGACAAAGGCACAAGAAAGACTGTTAAGCATGCACATCAGATCCGATTTGAAATTATTTTAACGATGTATTTTGGAACGAGTTTCCGTAATCTCTTCTCAAGTTTTGTTTTAAATCGAACCAGTTTCGGAAATGTGTCATCTTCAATGTCTGTTCTCCTTATTGAGTTTGTCATCGATTTTGTTATCGATATTTTATTGATTGTGTTGTCGATGTTTTTACTGATTATGTTATCGATTATTTATCAATTTTGTTATCGTTATTTTTACCGATTTTGTTATCGATATTTTTATCTATTTTCTACTCCATTTTTTCTGTCGATTTTGTTATCGATATTTTTATAAAATTTGTTATCAATATTTTTATCGATTTTCTAATTGATTTATCTACCAATCTTATTATAGATTTTTCTATCGAAATTTTTGTCGAATTTATCATCGATTTTGTTATCGATATTTTTATCGGTTTTGATGTCGGTATTTGGAGGGATGTTACTATCGATTTTGTTATCAATAGAGTATAAAGATAAAAATGAAAATAAAGGAAAACAGAATAACATAAATGAGTAGTCCACTTGCAAAGTGCGCTATGTAAATTTGTTCCGATATTTATTTTTTGGGTGAGTAACGTACCAGTAGTTAAAGTAGTTTCATGTCCACTAACAACACAGTGCAAAATCTTTCTATATTCTGAAAAAATAGCATCAAATTATAAATACTCTTGCAAAAGTCGCTATCATACTTAAATATTTATAAACTTTCAAAAGTCTCCATCTTCTGATGAACTTAGAAAACTGCTTTACGTCGTATAGACTGTTAATATTATGTTATGTTATCTTTGCTTATTTATCCAAATTTTCAGGTAATTCAAAAAAAAAATATTCGATATAAAAGTTACTTGTTGTCGTAGCCGTTTTTTTTAATTTATGGCTTAGTTACTATTATAAAATCACATAACGCTGTTTGCGAACACGGCTTGAGGGAGGGCTCTAGATAGAAAAAAGACAAAAAATTTAACCTTAAGCAAAAGCAAATGTATATGTTTTACATATGTATATTGGTTATATTGGTTATGGATAAAATAGATATGTAACGTAAGTTTCATTTCTACAGTGTGGCCAAGGCGCACTTACTTTTTTTAATGCTAGCGATTTATTATGGGCCCCTTGCCCAGGCATGAGCACGGGACACAGATTCGCTGATAATTCTTCTATATCTCTTTCTGAGAGTAAAACGTGGCAAATAAAAAACCTTAATAAAAAACACTTATTCATCTAATCAGCATAGCTTAGTCACTTGAATTGCGGGAAAACGATATTTATGTCAGTAAACGCGCCAAAATAATTAGCAACATTTCTTTAAATAAAATGAAGCAAATGAACTGAAAGTGTAACTGACTCACTTGTTGGCACTGAACAAGAAATAACAACGACTAAAACAGGTAACCAAAAATAAGAGCAGTGAGAAAATTAATGACCCTCAACATATGTGTGATTCACTGAAAAGTAGGTGAGTAAGCGAAAACAGACAATAACGAAGAGCCAGAAAGAAAAATAATAAAAACAAAAAAACCGCAAAAATTTTTTCCCGCAATGATATGTAGCTGTCCGACAAGATACAATGTTGATACATATTTACGAGTATGTACAACTCTACATGATTACAGGTGGGTAAGTACCCTGACGGAAAGAAGTGATTTTTTTCTTTTAAATCAACTAATGGCAAAACTACTTTGAAACAAATGCAGCGAGTAAATGTTGCGAATTTGATGCTCTTTTTACCCAAAGAAACAATTTGAGTCTTGAAAAAAAGCTTCTGTGAAGTGCAGAACGAAAACGTATTCATTTTAATGCATTTTAAATTAGTTGAAAAACGCAGAGTAGGATAATTAATTTTCTCCTATTTCGTAAAAAAGGACTTTTTAAATTGCTTTTAAAGTAGTTCCATTTCCGACAGGGAAATTCTGTTAATGCCAATGTGTGAGTAATATGTGTGTTGAAATTTTTCCCGCTTACCTACGTGTATTTAATTTTCCTCAGAAAAGTGGAAACAATAAAATTTGTATGCCGTCCGTTGTAAAACTAAAATTTTAAGTGCCGCTTCTAGCGTTCATTACCCCAAGCGCTTGAAAGGCAGACGCTGCATGCACCTAAACTTTTTTCTTCTTCTTTATTTGCTTACCGCACACATTCATTCTACTTATAAATACATATGTACTTACATCTGCTTCCTCGGACATTTTACTCCCACGAATTTATCGATTTGTCGAAACAATAAATTTTGTTCAATTTTCTATGTACACAAACTTGCGAAAAACTTCACACCAATTGATATTTATTCGGGCCACAACAATGAAAAAATACGCTAGGGCTTAATGCTGAATTAATATAACCAGCGCTTAAGATTTTGTATAAGCTTTTGTGCAGAAAGCCGAACTTGTTACTCTGCCGGCGACGAGAGACAAACTAAAGTTGCAAGCGTTGAGTAAGTCAGTAAATGTGCTTGTCAAAAGCGTTCCACGTCGGTTAGTTAGGGGTCCGCCAATAGTGGCGCTACACTACATGTGTACATAGCATTTGTATGCTTATTTGTGGCTTATGCCCACGTGAATTTATCTCTATCTCTTTATTCGTAATTGCATATGAATGTGCCGGCAAATTAACGAATATACGACAAAGCATGAGGGCTTTCGTGTAACGTCAGATTTCATATCTAACTGATATAAATAACTACATACATACATATGTACGTTGAGAGAAGGCAATGTACGCTACTATGAAAATGTTCAGAAAGAAATTTCTCAAATCACTGGACAACAAAATTGAGATTTTCACCCAGCAATGCTGGAATTTTTTTACAAGCTTTTACTTACCTTCACATGTGGGTAATCAAATTTGCAATCAATATCACCGTCACAAGAAAAAGTGATTTGTGCATTTGACCAGCCCCACCCCTACTGACATGTATTTCGACCCACTGATTCCGAATCTGGGGTCCGTTTGACTCGTACGCCTCCTAAATTTCGAGTTATTTGAGAAAGTTCTGAAAAAATGGCAAAGAAGTGGGTCGAAATACATGTCAGTAGGTGTATTTAGCCATCTTCCCGATGAGCTGAGGATACCTTAAAGCGTTAGCTGGGTTAGGTATTGAGATATTTGGAAAACCGGTATGGTCCGGTATGGTACATGTCGACAATAAGACAAAATTAT